AATCCGGATGCACGTCAACGATGCGCCCTAACCTACATTCAAGAAAGACACTATTTTCCTTCAGAATCACCATGTCGCCAAGTTTTACCCTTTCACGATCCGGGGCTGCGCTTCTCCATTTCGATTTCGATTGTAATTGCGACAAATATTCCCGCTTCCAACGAGACTAGAAATGTTGTCGCAATTTGATCAACAACTAATAATGAGTCAGCCTGTTGATCGGATCTTCCATTAGATCTATCTGCTGTATCGCGTTGAGCGGTACGTCGATTAAGAAATCCGGGGGTTAACGCAGCGAGATCTGACGGATCGCTTGATGGGTGTCAAGAGCCTTGAATTTAAACACACTTCTACTTCCGTTAAAAGCGTATAAAGCTCTTCGAATGTAAAGAGCGCCTCCCCCAACATCTTCCTCAAGCAAGTCTTTGCCGATTTTATGCTCGCTTCTCATAATCCTCCCATATGAGGAGCATAGAATGGCAAAAAATGCCACTGTATCGATTGCTCTATCAAGAACGCGTCCACCTGTCGCTGATGACTCTGATTTTGCAGCAAATCCCTCAACTTTAGCAGCTCGTTACACGCTCCTATAAAATTCGTGCCGTTATCTGAATAAATATTTTTACATTTTCCTCGTCTTGCAATAAAACGCCTCAAAGAATTGAGAAATGCTGCCGAACTTAAATCGCTAACCAATTCTAAGTGAACGGCTCGCGTTGCGAAACATACAAATAAACACAAATATGTCTTTCCTGTCTTATTCCGTAAAATTTTGATATTGAATGGTCCGCCATAATCGACACCAACGTTAAGAAATGCTCGATTCGGAGTCACCCTATTCTTTAGCAAGACGCCCATTATCTCTCGCGGACTCCTACCATTGAATCTATAAACCAAACATCTACGCAAAACTCCCCGCACATCTACCCGATGTGATCCAATATTGCTCTCTTAACACATTTATAAGCGCTTCGGGACCCGCATGCAAATTCCTCAGATGAGCATCCTTGATTATCAAATTTGTTAAATGATCATGCGTCGCCAGAACTATCAGAAATTTCTGCGAATAAGTCAAGGGTGCATTTCTCAAACAACCACCCACGCGTACGAGACCTATCTCATCTATGAACGGATGGAGAGGCAACAGTCGACTTTTACTAGAGATCGGACGCTTTGACTGTAACGCAGCTATCTCTTAAGCGAAATATTGACCCTGGTGGTTTTTCAATATGACATTATTCATGGTATCTAACTCTTCCATCGTAAGTCGACCAGATCGTCTCTTAGTCTTCTGGCCACAGTTGTACGCGAATCTGAGACAATAGGCGATCATTATCCTTAATCGTTTTAACGATGAATACCGCCCTCAAACGTCCAGTTCCGGATTGACATTAATATTCATCGAAATCAGCCTTTTCTCCGGCACTTCTGATGTGGATGCCGATTCCGGGGAAAACTCGATTTCTTCCCTTTCTAGTCAGGAAGGGCCGTTCCACTATAACCCCTGATTACTCAATCCTTCCGATCCGATTCCCCTCGACAATACATCGGCTGGGTTTTCCTTGGATCTAACATGATACCACTGCGATTTCTTCGATGCCTCTTGAATTTTTGATACGATTTGCTACGAAGGTTTTCCATTGCGATGGTTCCCCGCGTATTCAAGCTAGAACCACCATCGAATCACACCAATGATACTTCCAATCAACTTGCAAAGTGAGCGCTCCACTGACCTTCTTTATTAGTTTTACCAGCAACAATGCTCCACATAATTCCAGACGTGGCAGATTTAACTTCTTGATGGGCGCTAGCCGAGATTTTGCGCAGATTAATCTACATCTTGATGTCTGTCCTTCACTGATAGATCTTAGATACAAGCATGCGCCCATAATGCATAAGTCATTTCTGGCATCACAGAAACCATGGATCTCTATTCCCTTCGAAGCCACATTAACAATCGTTCTCGGAATATCGATTTTTTCAAGCTTACTAAATTGTCGGTAATATTGTGCACGCAATGTGCAAATCTTCTGGAAGTGATTCATCCCAACCAAGCCTGCACTGCCACAGTCACTGCAAAATAATTTTCGCCCTTATGATCACTGGATTGATTAAACCTAACGGATCATAAATCTGCGAGATAACGGACAAAATTGTTCACTTCGTTATTCTATGCTCTGTTCATGACAGTTTCACTCAATACCTCAGCGCATCTGACGCAACGTCCCAGTACAATCCGAGAGTCTTGATCACCCAGAGATTTCCGTAACTGCGTGTCTCTGTATTGGTGATCCTCGATCATATCTGTCACATTAGATTTCCACTTATGCATTGAATCCATCCGATAGAAGCACTCGATTCACTCCTTCCCTGATTCGCCGTAATTCCTCTACATCATCAGCTCCTGTGATAAGATCGTCCACATAAAAATCTCTCATTATTATTTTACTTATTTCCGAATCTTCCAGGTGACATTCATATGCCAATTGATGCAGGCATTTACTGCCAAAAACGGAGCCGATGCGATTCCAAACATTACTGTATTTAATGTGAATTTTTCCACTGATGCGAGCGCTTCGCCCTTCCATAAAATTCGCTGAAAGTTTCGATGCTTTGGTCTAATGAGAATCTGTCTATACATTTTTTCAATATCTCCAGTTAATACGTATCGATGCTGCCTAAAGCGTAGAACAATTTTAAATAATTCCTGTTGACTAATTGACCCGACTCTTAAGATGTCATTTAGCGATTTACCGGAATCCGTCTTGCATGAGGCATCAAATACTTCTTAATTTCGTCGTGGAGTTATTTTCCTTTATGATGCGGTAAATAATAGATGCGGTAAATGACCCTATCCCTTACTAACCTCGCAGATCCATCGATCCTTGACATATGTCCATTTTTCCAATATTCTTCTAAGCATTCTGCGTATCGCGTTTTCAATGTCTGATCCCGCTCCAGTCTTCTACTTACTGACTGCATGCGCCTCAACGCCGATTCGCGCGAATTTCCCAAAAGACTAGGATCTTCCCGGAAAGGAAAACCAATCATGAATCGCCCGTCCGCCATCCGCTGATACGTGTTCCGAAATTCCTCTTCGCATAACGCTTCCTCCTTCGATAGTTTTGATTGCAAAAAACCTTCTTCAACTATCCAGAATCGTTCCATCTGCCGATGCAGATCGGTCTCCCTCGCGATAGTGCACAACGATGTATCCTGCTTTCCGTTCTCCGGAACAGACATATTTCCTGCCATTATCCATCCCAGCTTAGTCTTCTGCAGGATCGGTAAATTTCTGCCTAATTTAATCTGGCCGATGCAATAGATCCCAGAATACTTCCGCTCAATAAGATATCGATCTCACCCGGTTTTCCAAAACGACGATCTGATAATTTAATGTTCCTTGGAATGTTCAGCGCTGAAATGTCAATCCTTTGCGAAGGGGTACGCTCCGTTATACAATCCATGACTAAAAATGACAGTCTAACCTTGAATTCACTCGTTGTTGAATAAATTGCCATGTTAACCATTCCTCTCACATCCATTACCCTTCCGCCGACATCCGACAATGAAACGCCGATTCTCTGCTCATCTAATTGAAGACGTTCACACAGGTCCCGCCGCATGAGGTCCCGCCGCACGTTAGTCTGCGAGCCGGCATCTAAGAACGCCCTGCACACATGTTCGTTGCCGAACCGATCGAAGACCCTCACGGAAGCAGTTGCAAGCAAAACCTGAGCGCTACATTTCACTGCCGCAGACGTCACCGAATTATTTGTTTGAATGCGACTATTCCTTCGATTCTCTTCGACAGTGTTTTGAACTGAGACTTGCGTATTCATCTCTTCTGGATTCGTATCCGATCTCTCAACCGTGTCTTGAGTCTTATTATCGTGCAATCACGTGCTATGCTTACGCCCGCATTGCTTGCATCCGCCTGTCATGCACCTGTCCGCCGTATCCCTCCGCAAACAATTAAAATACAAACGATTACGTCTGACTTCGCTCATTCTCGCCGACGCTGACAAGTCCCTAAATCTTTTACTTACTCTTTTTTAATTATAAATCGCGTGATTACTGTGGCATACTACACAATTATGATTCGCAAGCTGATTAACATGAGCGCCCATATTCTCCCTTCGCAACCGGAAACCGGAATCGTCGGTTTAACCATTACATTTTTATTAAGTTGCAGCGCCTCTAAAACCATGCAATGCCTAGATAAAAATTCTAAAAATTCTTGTAGTGTCGGCGTCTCTCTATCGACCGTTTCTGTCTCCCATTTTTTTACGCTTAATATGGCTATCTACACGCGATACGATCATATAAATGACTATTCACTGGCTCGCCTAACAATTTTAAAATGCGAATATGTTTTTGCGCATCGTCTACCAATTTTCGCAATTGTGATGAAGACTCCCTTGTGATAGAGCTCATATCAAACAACGAATATGCTAATTAATAATTTCTTGTTCTCGTAACGCTGTTTCAATAGAGACCACGCAATAAAATAATTTTCCGACGACATTTCCAACGATTGCTAAAAACCTGTGCCGCATTACCTTGCAAACACGATTTTAAATAGTGAAACTTCTGAATCTTTTCTAATGTCGCATTATTATCGATTAACGCTTGAAAGGTATCTCGAATTGCAATCATTGCGTACACGTTCCGTCGAATTTAGGCAATTCAATTATAGGCAGCTTTATCCCTTCCACTTGAGAACCATTAAGCCCTTGCCCGTTTTCCTGGCTTTTCGCATGCTTCCGATTTTCATATGGGCGATTCTGTCCCGGCTCGATTCGTCTCTTTAATTCCGCCAGCGTACTGTAATAGCCTACCTCGAATACCTCACGCTCCTGAGCCTACGCCTCACTCGTCTCCACATTCTCAATCCCTGGATATTGTCGAAATCCTTCCACAGATCATTTAATTTTTGTAATCTCGCTTGACATTCTAGCACGTCGGGTATATCTAAGGGCAATGACGTTACAAAATTGTAAATACGTGTGATCTTTTATTATCGACCGTCTTCTAATCAACACAACAAGTTCTTCTGCCATGTTTAAATTCTATAACGGCTTATACAGTGCGATCGTTAAAAATAATTTACTTACGTAGGCTTATCCGCAAAAATATTAATTCGAGAGAATCTGCATTAATCTGATAATTTTGTTATACGTTACTCGCTCTCGTTAGTTTACTTGTTAAACCACACTGCTGCGTCACCTTGTCAAGACCATTCTAAAAACGCCTTGAAATAATCGTTGCTCAATCACGAGTCTACGATTACTAGGGCCCTCAAAACTCCTCAAAATCGTCTTCCCGAACGCATCCGGCTCGAAGGACCAATGTCGAGTTCTTGTCCGGGCGCACGAGAGCTTCCAAGGATAGTTTCTTTCGATAGTTCCAAATCGTTCTCCACGCTCCGATATTGGGTCGAGTCTCTACAGACGATCTCGGACACCCTCGGGGTACGACGATTATCGTGATGGCGTCACGGGATGCACCTCCGTCGAGGCAGTGAACGAATAATTATCTCAATATGAAAACGACTTTATTCTTTCTTCCAAAACACGGTGTCTCGTCACAAACTCCTCGCTTATTCTGCGTGAAAATCAAAAAGACTTCTCTCTAAACAATTAGCGCTAGCGTCTCTGTTTTCATTAATGTGTATTAATGTTATTGGCCACAACAATATCTCTCATATACCTGTGGTGCGTACGATGATATACACAGGTGTATGGGACCTATAATTTAACGCCGATTCTGAACGGCAAATTTTGGTAGAGAGACGTTCATGGCAAAGTTACTTCGGTGGATTGCCGCTGCCTTCCGAGAGAAGAAAAGCGTAAATATTTTGGCTCTGCCGGGAATCGAATCCAGGACCTCTAGCAAACCAGTGCGCTGTCCAAATAAAACAAGAAATTATATAAAAGTCAAGATGACATTAAAATGATGACAAAAACTCATTTTTCGATCATGATAAAGAATTAATAAAATTATGATTGTGGAACTTAGCATATTATTTTAAATATTTCAATAATGCAATAATATTTAATGCATAATTACTAAACTACTTGCATTTTATAGTGTATAAAAAATATTTTAGTATCACAAAAGAGACTAGATTTATCTTATTCTTCTAATAATTTCTCATTATATATAAAACAGATATATATTCAAGTGAGGTTCTGATTAAAAAATTTATAATATTAATAATTAATAATATATTTATAATATAATTATGAGATATAATTGAGAATTAGAGATATAATTGAACAATTGTAAGTTATACACATAGTATATACATAAAACATTATTCTGTGCTAATATACACATACAATATTGTTTGAGAATTAATTTAATTGTAAACTCGCGGACGGTAGCTTGGTTATTATCAATTCGCGGATGATGAGCGACGCACCGAGGCAGGCTATGCTGCGAATAACCAGTCTATATCACAGTCACTGAAAAATAGTTTTGAGAGTCTCCGCACTATAAGAGTTTTGCACACGTCACACGCGGGACGCTAGTCGAGCCGACACAATAAAGAGTCTGATGGTATTCCAGAGATTTTAGAGAGATTGAATTAAAGCTCTCCAAGTGAGCTAAGCCCAAAAACGGAGAGACGAGATCACAGATACACTCGCTAGCCACGTGAACACCACGTGATGAGCACGAGCACGGCGCGATGATATATTCTTGCAATGTCCTTGCAGCATTCCTGATCACGTCACCTTCATTGAGTCTTGGGCCGCGGTCCGATTCATGCTCAAAGCATTTTTGACGTTATTCTATCTTTGACGTTATTCTTTATTGTTTATTAGATGTAAAACAAGAATAGAATGATGCCAATAGTGCTTTGAACATGAATCGGACCGCGACCTTGATGAGTATCTTAAGCGTAGAGCAATCCCCTTTATGCTAACCACAACGAACTATGCATGAACAAAGCACCCAAGAGATCAGTCCAGTAGGCTATTCTCTATTCTCTACCTATTCTCTAACTTCTTAATGATAATTTCACTAGCTAGGGATGTCGTTACGCAGATTTAACGACACGCAGATATAACAAAAAATGGTATTCTGTAATTTAATGTAACGATAAATGTCGTTAAAAGTATCGATAAAATACCAAATCTTGTCATTAAAATATCGAGGGGTATCGGATTCCTCGATAAGCCATAACGACAATATAACTAGATATATCAATCAATAGCAACGTTCCGAAGCGGTTCCGAATAGTAGTACGAAAGTGTGCAAGTATAGCGTAATTTTATAATTTAAATATATGAACACATAAACTTATTTTAAACATATTAAATATTAAGAAGAGTACGCAAAAAGTAATATTACAATAAAATATTTTAATTAAAAACAATGTATTATCAATGTTATAATATTTAAGGATATTAAAATAAATAAATAAATAGATATAGGTTATATTTTAGTTATGAATTATATGCAATGTAAATCAGATGTTTTTCATAAAAAATTTTAAAAAGTTAAAATTTTCTCTTATTTTTAAGGTAAAATGGCTGAAGGATATTTGACATGGAATATGTTACTTAAAAAATTTTTTTAAATATGTTAAAAAATGAAATTTAAACAAATAATTTAAATAATTATATTTAATAGCATTAAATTACATTAAATATAATTATTAATTATTATTAATTATTAATAATAATTAAAATAATAATTAATAATTTATTATTATTATTGTATTTAATAATTAAAAAAAGTTATGTCTTAATTATGTATTAATTTTCTATGTAACCTGTTGTATATAACACTAACAACAGTACTTTTAACAAAATAAATAATTAATCATTGGCCAATTGAACTGCTAGTAATTAATATCAATTTCATATGTAATTTATCAATACTTTTTCATATATTACTTAAATTATTTATATATATACTTACTCTGACATTGCACAGGCTTTATTTATCTCTTCTACTATTTCCCACTTTACCACTTTACTATAAGTTTATAACCTTATCATCAATAATTTATTTTCACATTCGTAAAGTTATCGGAAAAAGATGTTAGAAAAGAGATTTTATTGGTTGGATATTAGAACGAAAAAGTTACATGAAATCGAGTATACTCGTTACGATAACAACATCGAAATCACATTTTGTTTCGTTAGCTTGTGTTACAGAATAGCTGTGTCGTTATAATATCGCCAGCGCAAGCGACAATTGTCGCTACGTAACGATAACGAATATTGTCGTTACAAAGTTAGAGAATAGGCATATAGAACACAATAGCCGAAAAAACCCGATCTAGTGAGAGCGCGCATTAGAGGAGTGCCAGAAGCGCTTCAGGCGGCCACTTTCCGAGGTCATGCATAATGCTTGTGTCCGCGCGCGGTGCCGCCATCTGATTACGAGGCACCTGTGCGCGGCTTTCTATGAAAATATAAGTTTATTATCGAACAAATATATAAAATATATATATATATATTTAAAATAATATGTTAAGTTTCACAATCATAATTTCATCAATTTTTCATCATGACCGAAAAATGAGTTTTTGTCATCATTTTAATGTCATCTTGATTTTTATAATTTCTTGTTCTACTTGGGTGTCTACTAGGAAGCGTCCCAGATACGCACATTTTCAATCATTTCATTTTCACATCACTCACATCAGCCGATGCCTAGAAATTTTCTAGTGAGCCGCATATCAAAAATTTTTTTATTTAATCGATCAATCGGCAATGTGTCCGATTGGACCTCACCCGTCTATTATGCCACGCTACCCATTTCCAAATATAGGAGCATATTATATGGTAAAGCCGCAGCACATAATGTAATAATGTACAACAGACATAAGTTTACATTATTACACTATGTGTTGTAGCTATATCATATAATATGCTCCTATATTTGGAAGATAAAGTGCTGTAAAAATGCTGTGAGACTGCTTTTATACTGTGCTGGTCATACGCGCTTATACACACTCATAACGCGCTTTTTAAATGAATTCTAAGCGCGCTTAGAGCGCTATGAAACGGCATTTATTCTGCGCTGGTTGAACGCGCTTATAATGCGCTTTTTTAAATGAATTTTGAACGCGTTTTTAAAGCGCCAAAAAAGCACTGAATTCCTACATCTGCATTAGCGCTTTTTTAACGCTTTTCAAGCGATGTTGTGCTACGTGGATGCCTCTTTTTTGGGAAATGGGGTGTCGCAACAAAAATTTCAAACAACTTGAAAAAGTTGGTTGGTACCAATCAATTAAGTCATTTTTCACGGACAGCGAGACATCTAAGAAATTTATACGGTCTCTTCCTATCTCCAATGTAAATTGTAGTCTCTGATGGAAAACATTAAAATTTTCAATAATAATTTGGTTAATCGCAGAAGAAGGAATAAGATTATCGCCATAAGATTATCGTCAACGTATTTATAATAAATCGATACCGGAACAGAGATTGTCACAACCACCCCATCCTCTAATTCCTGCATATCTAGATCAGCGACTATAGATGAAAGAGGAGAATCCTTTGGAGTCCCGAAATTTTGCTTATATATTATGTTGTCAAAAGTGAAAAAAGTTGAATTAAGAACAAACCGAACGATCCCCAAGAACTCATCTTTCGGTATTTTACAATGTTCAGTTATGAAGTGCTTCTTCGACAGGCATTGAATCGCCAGATCTGTCGGAACATTGGTAAACAATGAAACAACATCCAAAGAGATTAAGAAAAAGTTAGAAAAAAACGAACAGACAAATTCATACAAAAAAATCCCAGTATATCTTGTTTATCAAAACAGATAAGGGGAATGTAACTGTGGCTGTTGATCGGGATAATTATGTTGCGAAAATTAAAGATATGCTCAATGATAGCAATGCTTACACTGTTATTAATCAAGATCCGACTAGGAAAATTGTTAGAGAATTGAACACGTTACTGTCGGGATGGAAAAGGGAATACATTTCCCCGGCGAGATATAGATTATTATATTGCAGCGATGGTGTACTACCAAGGGCTTATGGATTTCCGAAGATGCACAAATCTAATTGCCTTTACAGAATTATTGTATCTTCCATTGATATGTTACGACCGAGCGGAATTCCGCTCGTTGTTACCCCCGAATATTCAAAAAATCAATACTTTTTAAGAGAAGATTGTTCCGTGCCGATATGATGCGATGTTCTTGACAACGCGCTGTTTTTTTATTGTTGTTTTACGCGGAGATTCAAGGCACGGACGTGTGTCCGCGGCGTACTGATTGTTCAATTACCTTAATAAAGTTCCGATAGTTTGTAAAGAAGTGTTGTTTTATTTTGCGTAACGCGAGATTGACTTTGAGATCGTGATCGCCGCGAGTGCGACAGATATACCATTTTACTGAATAGCCGCTTTTTTGCACGAGGTGATTTCTGCTAATGTTCCCAAAGCTTCTAGTCGTATTCTGAATAGCTATGAACTGATTAAAAAATTACGAGGAACATTTATTGATAACAACTTTCCTTAATCTCTTTGGATGTCGTTTTGGATGTCGATTGTTTACCAATGTTCCGACAGATCTGACGATTCAATGTCTGTCGAAGAAGTGGCACTCTATAACTGAACACTGTAATATACCAAAAGATGAGTTTTTGGGGGCCGGTCAGTTTGTCTTTAATTCAGCTTTTTTTACTTTTGACAACATAATATATAAGCAAAATTTCGGGACTCCAATGAGTTCTCCTCTTTTAACTATAACTTATAATTGCTAAATATACAGAAATTGAAGGATGGGGTGCTTGCAACAATTTTTGTTCCAGTACCGATTTATTATAGATACATTAACGATATTCTTATGGCGGTTCCTTCTTCTGCAGTTAACCAAATTGTTGAAAATCTTAATGCCTTCCACCAGAGGCACAATTCACATTGGAGATAGGAGGAGATCGTATAAATTTCTTAGATGTCTCGCTATCCGTGGAAAATGGCTTAATTTTTGATTGGTACCACAAATCAACTTTCTCAAGTCGTTGTTTAAATTTTTTGTCGCGACACTCTATTTCCCAAAAGAGAGCATAATTATGAATTTAATAGACAAGGTCTTTTTACTGTCGCATCCAGAGTTCCATGAAAGAAATCTCCATTTTATTATCAATACGTTACTTGATAATGGCTACCCGGAGAATTTTATTTTTGACATTAACAAACAATTAAAAAGTCTAATATAAGCGAAGGAATGGGTTAATTCATAATAGTGATAGCATACGGGAAAACAAACCGTCATGATTTACCAAGCCATACATCCTCAATGTTTCCGATAAATTTGATAACATCTTTAAGAATTTGGAATACAAATTAGCTTTTTATAATATTAACAAACTTCGTGATGTTATTAAGGCTCCATAAAGACCCTTTGTCAAATTCACAAAAGAAAAATATTATTTATAAGATCAATTGTCGGGATTGTGATGCGTCTTATATGGGTTAGACGGGACGATTATTAAGAATTTCTAACTAGAATTTCTTTCATACTAGAATTTCTGAACACTGTAGGCATATGACTCGGAAATACGTCTTCCCGCTCCGGACCACACCTTACATACGAAACATGAATTTGATTGGGACAATGCAAAAATTCGAGTGAGTTTCAATTACGCACAGAATAAATCGAACACAGAAGGTTGAATAAATCGGACACGGGTCCAAACGAACACAGTGGAAAGAACGGACACAAGGTGGTTGAAATCGGATACAGTGAAAGTCGGACACAATGGCAATCGGACACAGTGGCACTCGGACATATTAAAAATCGGACACAGTACTAATCGGAAATGGACACACGATAATTGCAATCTGACACAGTAAGAAACGGACACAGTGCTAATCAGACACAGTAGGAAATGGACGCACGGATAGTTAAATAGATAAATAGATAAAAAAATCTAGCAAAAAAAAACGCGGCGGTCTGCTTCGCAAACCGAGATATTAAGCGTTAAAGTTATTTTTTTTGTTAGGAAATTTGTCATAACGATTCGATATAGCGCTAAAAAAGTGTTAAAAGTGTTATTATATTCGAAGTGCAAGATGCAATCTTTCGCCTTACTAAATTGATGAGTGTATCATATACTAAAATGATAGATCTTAGAAAG